ACCTCTCCGATCACAAATGGGATTATTTGTAACTTTATAGCCCCCCAAAAAACAAATTTGGAAATTTTTTGCAGAACAGAATATTAAAAAAATGCAGCCGCGCACTCCGATCAGTGACTGTGTCTAGGCTGAGATGATGTCATCAGTCTGCTGCAGGCCGGAGGAAGCAATTCAGTCACCGGGATTTACATGATTGTGTCATCTCCGAGCCGGTGTTCTATCGAAAGTTCCAACTTATCGAGTTCTCCAACTGCCTGACTTCCTGTTTCGTTGGAACTAAGAGGTTTGGGCAAGAAAGCTCTCCTGCACGAGCGCCAGCCGCGGCATTGCCCTAGACACATACACCGCAGCAATGAAGTATTAAAATGAAGTAGGGTCACACTAATCCAGCACGTTATTAATCTCAGGTGCCCCACTCAATATGGCCGCCGGTAGAATGGGGCACTGGAGACTAATAACGTGCTGGATTACTTTGAACCTACTTCATTTTAATACTTCTTTGCTGCGGTGTATGTGTCTAGGGCAATGCCGCGGCTGGCGCTCGTGCAGGAGAGCTTTCTTGCCCAAACCTCTTAGTTCTTACTAAACCGGAAGTCAGGCAGTTGGAGAACTCGATAAGTTGGAGATTTGGATAGAACACCGGCATTCCTTGCCCAAGATTGGATCCGGTTTTTGAAGAGATTGCCAGCACCAGTTTTTGGCAGATGGAGGACGGCCTGACCGTACACAGGCCCAGCTAATTCGCCGGATTTACCTGCAGATTGAATTGCATGGTGGGTCATGTTCTCCCCGCATCTCGAATTGTTCTAAGTTCCCTCAACAAAGGAGACGACTGTCTGCGCTGAATTTGAGCCGTCTCCTGCCATGGGAAGAACACAACCTAACATGACTGTGTGACAGCATTATGGGGGTTCAAATTCCAGCCCCTTACAGCCGGGACACCAGATGCCTGATATCTGCACACTCCGGGATTTATGGATTCCACCAGAGAAGGTTCCTCGTCCGTGGCACATTGAGGTCAGAGGTCTTCTCCGCACCCCTGTCAGTCTACGTCTATCCTTCTCCTGGCCTGGACCATCTGCAGAAGTCATTAGGGGTCCATGTCCCACCTTAGGAGGGGCCCGGTGTCTCTTTAGCAGGAAGATCGGGTTTCCGACCTCTCGGAATATGACGGCGATGATGGGATTCGTGTCCAACGTGATGGAACTATGAGGAAAACCTTCAAGGAGTGGAGGAGAGATCGCTGGTTGTCCTTCTCTTGTTGTGGGACCATCAGGATCCTTGTCATCCGCGGAGTTCAAGCGTTCAGCGGAAGGTAAATCGGAGCGCGTGGTGGCGATGAATGATGACGCTACTGGACTTCTTCAACGAGCCAATAGGGAACATTTATTAACCCCATCAAGCCGACCATCACTGACAGACGTATTCCAATATCCTTGTCGTATGTTCCTCCCGGAGAGCCACTGAGGAATATTGATAGTCACAAAGCCAGATTTATAGCGCTGACATATACCGCAGTGCTGTACAGAGAACACT